GGCGGGGGTGAGTTATAGAATATCTGACTTTCCACTGGGATGTTGTATCCTTTCAGCCTAAGTTGGCAGTTTTGAAGCAGCACGCCTGCTTGGTGACCAAATGTGTGTCGAAGGAGGCGCAAACCTAAAACATTTACAATTTCTTATTAATGAAATCGGACGAAACATAGATCGGACTTCGACGGTATCCAGAAGCGGTGCTGAATCAAATTAATAAAGATGTTGGATCTCGAATGCACTACCGGCTTCTGTGGTATAGTTGCTATTGAGGTGCTTCGCCGTCACACGCAGAAAACCCAGGTTTGATTCCCGTTAGGAGCTAATTCCAGTTCAATGCAGAGACATCGTATCCCTTTCAGCCCGGGTTAGCCCTGACAGGTAGGGTCGACTTCCAAAGCTTGGGATCTCATGGAAACTGTACGCAAACTTACCTTAAATCTTGCCTTTGATCAATGTTTTTCAGTAAAATTCCACACGGAAATCACAAATAGGCATAAATGTCTTAAGTAAGCAGGAAGAAAAGAAATATCGACAAAATTGCCCAACGGCGAGAAATTAACACGCCGGTTACTCAAGATTTCATTACAGTCAAACTCGGATATAACAGGACAGACGGGACCGGCAGTTTTTCCCTGTTATAAGCGAGTCCTGTTGTAACCGTTTTCAATGGAAACTACCGGTACCATTGCACCTTCAGCTTACTATATATATTCGATTGCCGCAGATCCTTTTCCAGAGGGCTGATTTTCTGACACTGAGACGGAATCGATCAGTGACCCCAACACTATCCGGGGGAGGGGGGGGGGGGTTACGCTTAAATGAATATTGTTAGCATATATATACAATATTGTTTAAAACCACGCTCAATTGAATATTGATATCCTTCACAGTTGTATAAAACCAAAGATAGTAGCGGTATAGTATCTTTAATAAAACCACGCTCAATTGAATATCGTTAGCCTACACAACTGTATAAAACCACGCTCAATTGAATATTGATGTCCAACATAGTTGTATAAACCCGTACACAAGTGCTAATGAAATAATATTAATATAGGAGGGTCGATCCAACAATCTTGAGGATAAGTCAGTACCACCACATTGTTCGTCAGATCTAGTGAATTGAGGGGGAGGTAGAAGAATGAAAGAAGATAATAATACAATTGAGGATTGAGGATATAGAAAATATAATTGAGGATTGAGGATATACAAAATATTATTGAAGATTGAGGATATACAAAATATAATTGAAGATTGAGGATATAGAAAATATAATTGAGGATTGAGGATATAGAAGAGAAGAAAGAAGGGAACAAACAGGAGAAGAGGAAAAAATGAGGGAAGATAGTATAAATGAGGAAATAGATGAGAAGAAACATGAAAAAGTGAGAAAAAAAGATAGAAGTTAAGAAAGA